TAGGGAGGTGGTGGAATCTCCTTCCTTAGAGGTTTTTAAGGTCAGGCTTGACAAAGCCCTGGCTGGGATGATTTAGTTGGGGACTGGTCCTGCTTTGAGCAGGCGGTTGGACTAGATACCTCCTGAGGTCCCTTCCAACCCTGATATTCTATGATTCTATGAAACAAGGCAGCCCTGGGACAGCAATGCCCAGCGGCCGCTGCCAACCTGAGTCAGCCTGCGGCCTTGCTGCTCGAAAGCTCAGCATCCCCTGCCCGCACCCCCCCTGCCCCCGAGCCTCCACCCCCAACCTGAGGGTTTCACTCAACACGGACCCCCCAAAAGCAAAATCTGGAGTCACCAGAACCCCTGAACTAACAAGCAAGTGCAGAGGCTGACTGGTTAAAATATCCAGCCACTAGCAAAAACTACCAGCCCCTCCCCCTTCCCCAGGGAAGCAGTTGCTCCAGTGAGATGCATCAATTACAGGGTTTTCTGAGGCATTTGATCTTTCACCGGTTTCTAATAATACTCAGCACTTACACGGCGTTTGCAGCTTCAGAGCGCTTGGCAGGCATTAAGGGCCCGATCTGGCAGGCCTCGGAAGGACTGGGCCCCGGTGCCCCCCACCCCTCTCTGAGCTGGAAAAGAACTAGCACACACACATGCCCAGTCCCTGCTCCCTCTCAGCACCAACGCAGAGCAAGAGGATCGACCCCTGGCTTTCTTTGCAGATCACCAGGAAAAGGCGACTTGAGCCTGGCTGGGTGGAGGTCCAGCTAACGGCCTCTGGCAGAAAGCCCATCCCTGAAGTGAAGTGAATCTTTCTGCTGCTAAGGAACTGACTGACTGTGGGTGCAGAGAGGACAGAAGGGGAGAGAAATGACTCATCGAGGAAATGCTAGGATTAGCCTCCTTGGCTTCAGAGGAGTCAGCCCCTCCGATTCCTCTGCAGGCACCTCCAATGACTGCAAAGTGCTGGCAGGGGAGCCAGCCCTCGGCCGTCCCAGTTGGGAGCAGAGGCTGCCGGGCCACTCGGAACATCTGTGGGCTGAAGCAATGAGCGTGACTTCTCCCCGCTCTGGCCCCGCTGTCGTGAGTCATGCTGCGAAGCGTCAGACTGAAAGCCTGTGATCAGGTACCAACCTGAGCAATACAGGAAGGGGCCAGGGGGAAGTGTCTGGGTGTGAGTTTCCTGCCGTGAGTGTTGTGTAGCAGTGGGTAATGGAGGGCGCTGAATCTCTTGCAGCAGGTGCTAGGGTGGCCGTGGGGGGTGGCGCGTGGGTGCCCGCAGCTCCTGGAGACTTCCCTGGATTGGGCACCTCAGTCTCACCTGGTCACAGATCAGCTCCCACTTCTTCTCACTGTCGTACTGGCTAAGCAGCTTCATCTTGTCGGGCGGCAAGTTCATGGAATCCTGCAGGGGAGACAGACGGGGATGAGACAGGAGTGGGCGCCAGAGCGGCCATGACCGCGAGGGAAGCAGAGCCCCTGTGTGGGGAGGGCTGAGCCCTATCCAGCTGTCTGTTTAGGCCCAACCTGGACGATGCAGGGTCCCTTGCATCCCAGGTATCTGGGTGATGTCACCCCATCTTCCTCCAGTGCCCTGGACCCTCCACCCTCCTACCAGCACTGCATCCCCGCCACCCCACCTCACCCTTCCACCTCCAAGGACGGAGCCCCTGAGCTCCAGCTCCATGTCAGGACGTGGTTGGGTTGCTCCATCACCAACCAGAGCTGCCAGGACTGGTCAGGTCTCAGAGAGGCAGACTCCCAGCTCGGCACGAGCCTGGCACAGACACAGACAGTCTGTCCTGGACAGGTGGAGACCTCCAACATCTACTCTAGTGTCTGGCTGCAGAACGAGAAGCTTCAGCCTATAGTGTCCTGAGGACTTCCCCCTCCAGTGCTCCTCACCACCAACCCAAGAGTTCCCCCCCCCCTTGGGATTTGCACTGCGTACGGCGCCGGGGGGGCAGAACCCCAGGAACTCGCTCAGTGCTGCGGTGATGCCTGTGCAGCACACAAGGATCAATAAAGCCAAGTCGAGTTTCAGTGCAATGATTTAAGCTCCCCATCACCAGTCTCCACAAGCCCAGACTCCCTCTGACAGCGAGTTTTAACCCGGGGCCTCCAGATGCTTTACAATCAGCTACTCAAGCCTCACAGCTTGGCCCTGCCTGGTGGGTCAGTATCGTTATCTCCCATTTTATGACCGGGGAAACTGAGGCACGGATGGGGGATGTGATTTGCCCAAGTCCACACAGGGAGCGACTGAGTAGGGTGTAGAACCCAGGAGTCCCGGCTCTCAGCCCCCAGCTGCAGCTGTTGGACATTGCCCCTTGCCATCTTAAAGGCTGCATTAAGTGCGGTTACCGCTCTCCCTCCGAGAGACCATGTGGGAGCCATGTGCAGCCACATGATGGGTCTCAGCTCATGAAATCAGTGTCTGTTTAGAGGCATGAGCTCAGCGGCAGGATGTTGCGCGCTGCGGTGTTCCCAGCACTGATGTTGCTCAACCCAACTCCTTCCGGCTTCCCCATCCCACGGCAGTCGGTTTGGGCCCGATCTGGAGAGATGGGGAGCCAGCGAGGCCCCTGGGCAGCTCGGCCTGTCCCGGGATCGGGCCCCTCGTGTGGTAATTGGGCACAAACGGTTGGCTTCTCCAGAGGCTGCCCTTGCGTCGCGTGTGCAGGAACAGGATGTGACATCACTTCCCCTTTCCAAATAGGTAGCATGGGGGACTTCACTTCTCCTTATGCTCGGCTGTGCTGGGGGAGGGCTTGGGCCTGACCAAGTTACATGATTCGCAGCTCGCTCACTGAGCGTTGGTGCCAGGACCCAGCGAGGAAGCCACCGGGCCAAAGTCCTTCTCCCTTCCAGCACATGGCCCCATTGAGCCTACAGCTCCCAGCCTGCCATGCTCCACCCTGGCGTCCAAGATGGAGCTCGAGCACACAGACCTGCCTGCCCTGGGATTTCTGGAGCTCCCCGGGCAGCCTGCCAGGACTCAGGGGCGGCAATGGGGCTGCAGCCATGAAAGAAGCCCCAAGGGGCACTAAACGGGGATGGGGGCCACAGATCCTGCTCAAGAGATGAAGCCCAGCAGTTCCCCACAGACATTTAATGCACAGCATGGGTTATTTTCCTGGTTCTAAAGAAAATCGTCACTTTCCCCCCAAAAAAGCAAGGAGCCGGGAGCTAAGGCCCCAGGGAGGGGCAGCTGTCAGCTGGGAGGAAAAGCTCCATTGCCCATGGAAGGCAGGAACAATGGCACATGGTGCTCATGGGATGCACCTCCATCATGTGATGAGCTGGCAGGTGTTTATGTAAACCAGTGCCCTCTACTGGATGGACTGAGAACTGCTCCACTGAGGGTCATAGACCCTACACTGCTAACAGAGATTCTCCTTTAGCCCAAAGGCTCAAGGCTTGTGCTTTGCAAGCAGGAGGATCTGAGTTCTAGCCCCACCGCTGCCATGACTCTGAGTGATGACAGTGACAGCTGTGAAGTGCCTGTAGATTCCTCACAGTGCTAAAAGTGGAGGGCAGCCAACACTCATGGCATTTCACACAAATTAGCTTGAGCCATCAGGCTGCCAAGCCTGGGCAACATGGGCAGAACATCCTAGGAGCACAGATAATGAGAAACGAGAGAGGAAACACGCTCCCAGAGGGATTTGGGCTTAAAACCCAAACTGCTCAGGAAGAAAGCGAAAGAGCCTCGGCTCGCTATAGAGGAGTGCGTCCAGGAGGAGACCTGCCAAGCCAGATGCACTCCTGGAGCGGAAATCGCACCACCCGCTAACTGCACTTCAGTGCCCTTTGTGGTGCATTCGGGATGAATGAGGCTGTCAGAGGCGGTGTGTGCGACTGAGAGGAGACGAGATTCTGCCAAGGACACGGAGCCACCTCAGGAGAGGGCTCAGGGATTCTCCAGCAGCGGGGAAACCCACGGCAGAAAGGCACCCCAGGGCCTGGGGAGCGCCTTGCTCCAGGCACAGCTGGGTTTAGCCAGGTCCCACTGGATCCAGCTCACTCCCATCTGTGCTGGCTCCTTCGGTCCCTTTGCTTTGGAAACACTAGGGTGAGCATCTGGCGGGGCCCTCCTCCCTCCCTCACGCAGCCATGCAGAGCCGAGCTGGGCCGAGCAGGGAGGCTAAAATTAGGCTGCGAGGCTAGAAATAGAAATAGCCTCACTGAGACAATCACCAGCCCCGGCGCTCACTGCCTGGGCGTCTGAGCAGGATCGCGCTCCGATTGAGAGCAGCCGGCGGGGAGCCCAAGCTGCACCTGCGCTGGGCGCTCTCCAAGGAATGGGCCCATTCCCACGGCGCCCACCGCCAGAGGTGCTGTGGGTTATGCTGCACGGTGCCACCCGGTGCCCAGGAAGCAGTGGGCACAAGGGCAAGTGCAGCATGTCAGATGGTCTGTTAACTAACAGCACAGAGCTCTCCGGGTAGGCAGGGCTGCCTTCGGCTTCCCCGGGCATCACACACAACCGCCCTCACCTACCCGCAGCGTTTAATGGCCCAGTCGCTCATGGACAACGTGGCGTTTCCCAGCGTGGACCAGCCCTGGCAGGACAATCTTGGGGCTAAAGCACAGGGCTGGGAGCCAGAACTCCTGTCTCCAACAAGTCACTTCCTCTCCCCCTCTGTAAAGCAGAGATACCCTGATGGGAGAGATTTACACATCATAGGCCAGGTTGGGAGAGCCTGGCGCGGGAGGGGCTGGCAAGGGGTGGGGCTTTCGCTCCAGCAGAGAGGCAGCAATGTCACCCGCCAATCGTAGCCCCTCTTTCGTTAACATCCTTGACCAAGGAGAGATGCTGCGTGCCACCATCCAGCGGTGGCTAATGCAGCTGGGCAGACCCCTGCCGTTTCACCAGGACCAGGGAAGGCAGGTCAATAGGACTTTAAACCAATGTGAGGGCCCCACGGACACGGGGCAGCTCTGAACCTGGGCACTTGGCTCCTGTCCCAAGAGAGCCATCTTCCTAATTGTCCTAATGCCTTTTAGGGCAGGTTCCTGCCCTGGCTTAGTGCCCAGCCCCTCCTCCCCCACTCTGCTGGGGCTAGGATCCCTAACTCCCAACCATTCAGGGAGCCCGCCCTCTGGCCTCCTCTCCCATTTCCAGTACATCTGGGGGCTCCATTAAGGCTCACAGGTGGGCGTTCTCCCAGCCCGAGCACTAGCACACAGAACGCAGAACTGCCATCCCTCGTAGGGATGTGCTAGAAATACTCCAGGGCTTTGATCATCACAACAATTGCTGTGGGCAGCTCACACACTGTGCTTCATATAGGTTCCAAAGCGCAACGGTTAATAAACCGGAGCCTGCCCACCCACTTGGCTCGCCCTAGGGAAAGCAACCGTCTGTGCGCCCACAGCTCCCCGCTCCTCACTGGCCTCTGGCCCAGACTCGGCTGCCTGGGATACGGAGGGACTTAAAGCCCTCAGCAAACAAGATGCTGCACTGGTATCGCCGCAAGGTGCCTTGTTATCACCTCAGGAGCCTCCTCATCACGGCGGGGGGAGGGAGAGCTCAGGGGTTTGAGCATTGGCCTGCTAAACCCAGGGTTGTGAGTTCAATTCTTGAGGGGGCAATTTAGGGATCTGGGGCAAAAATCTGTCTGGGGATTGGTCCTGCTTTGAGCAGGGGGTTGGACTAGATACCTCCTGAGGTCCTGGATTCCTCCCTGGTCTGGAGTTTCCCTCCTGCAGGGAGCTGTCAGCACATCTGCCTGCTCTCGGATGGGCTGAGGGCCCCCAGCTGTGCACCCCACCCATACCAGCACACCATTATGATCCTCCCCTGGGAACAGAGGGCAGCACTCGGGCACAGCACCATGCTCTGGGTGTCCCTGGCATGTGGAGGGACAACAGGGCCAGGGGAGCTGAGAACGAGGCAAAGCTTCCTCAGGCAGAGGACAGTGAACAGACTGAATCCTCCATGCCTGCCAGCCGCCTCATCAGATCTCAACCAGCTGTGTGGGCTCCGCCCCAGTCAGTACTCGGAAGGTGTCCCCCAGGTGGGGCTGGTGCTGCTGGATGAGACATAGCGCCAAGGCTCTGACCATTGGTGATCATTAAAAATCCCACCGCACCCTGCAAGAGGAGGGTCAAGTTAACCCTGGTGTCCAGGCCAAGTTCCAGTCTGGTTGATTACTTCCTGCCTCCCCTAGCTCTTCCCAACAATGTCAGTTTCATAAGGAATCCTTCTTCACTTCCTGTCCTAAACTAACATGTTGCATTATTGTGCGCTATTAAGCAGCTGCCCATTCCACCCCAGAGGTGGCTGCATTTCAGTGCTGGGTGAAGCAATTCCTCCCTACAGCTGGCACAGTGGGTTGGGATAAAAGGAGCTCTATAAATGTAGGGCCGTATTATTACTACAAACAAGGAGGCAATTGC